TCTATATTCTTTGTGACATGTCATTATTATGATTAACAAATGCTTAAACATTTTAGTTAAACAACCAATGAATCTAATCAATGAACTAATGAACAGAACCGATTGTTTCTGTTTAATATCTGATTAAGAGAACTGAAGTCCTCGTATAGGTTGAAATGACCCGTCATGGCCTAAAATAAGAGTTCAGCAGTTCCTGCCAATTCTCAGGCCTGTGCGAGACCTGCTTTGAGGCAGTAATTCCTGTTTCTTCACTCGAGGTGACCCCTACAAAACAGTTGGTTTGCTTTATCAGACTTCAAAATGTGCATTTTATTCTTTTATTAATTGTTACATGTATGTTTGAATTTCTTTAGATCACATGTCACAAACATATGGCCCGCAGGCCCAATGTGGCCTGCCACAGCATTCTATGTGGCCCCCGAGAGCTTCAAAGATGCATTAATGTCTTCATGTTTTAAAACCAGCATTGATCATAAACTACTGTACATCTCTGATAATCCACGCCAATAATTTTACACACAAAATGACAAAGGTAACTTTTGTTGCAGCCTAGCTTTACTGGGAAGTGGGAATTTCTCACATACAAGTTGTAAATTTAAACTGAATTATTCTTCCAGTGGGAATTCCCTGCCTGAAAGTGGGAGACTTCAGACATCAAGATGGCGACAAACTCAACAGTGAGTAAAACTTTCTTACTTTTAATAGTATTTCTGTATAATTTATTTCACATTTAGACAGTGGTACACAGAGCTTTATTCAGTGTGAGTAAGAGGATGTGTTAAAGTGCTGTTTCTATACAGGAAATACCATGTAGAACTCAGTTATTGTTTCTTAGCGGTGCTCAGCTGTAGCAGTGAGATGAGGAATGTGTCCTTTCATGTTTCGAAGTTAAACACAAAACAATAAAGTTAGTTTCAACTGGCCCTTTGACGGCAACCATAATGCTAGTGGGACTCTCAGTGACAATGAGTTTGACACCCCTGACTTAGAGGCAACTATTCAAAAAAGGACCAAAATATAAAATGGTATTTCATAGCAATAAGGTGATTCCTAAAAAGCTGTTGACCAAAGTTGTTATATAATTTAGCATGTCTCTCGTAAAATTGTTAGAAACTAAACAATTGTTAAACAAAAGAAACAGAGGCCAAAAAGAGTATCATCAGAAGACTGATAATAATGAAAAGTCATATTTGACAGAAATAATACAAGGAAATGGATCAAGGGCTTGAGAGATCCATGATCCTTCAGGCAATCATCTGCTAGACGTCAAGTTTTTAAATACCGTAACAGCTTTTTGAGAATGGCCTTGTTGATTCAAAAATACGGTTTAAATTTTACAAAGTAATAAGTTACTGTTATTTA